GGCATCGCGGGCTTAGGGTCTGGGAAGGTGTTTGGGGTTTAGGGCTTAAAATGGGCCTACGGGGCTTAGGGTCTCTTGGGGGTTTGGGGGGGTTCAGGCCTTTGGGCCAGATCTGCCTCCCAGGAACATCCGGCACACGGGCTCTGCCTTGACCTCAGCCACCACACCCGCGCAGCTGGTCCCAAACCCAAAGCCCTCCCATCCTAGCTAGGACTAGGGGGACCCTGAGAAGGGAACCCTTCAAAACCCTCTTCTGGCTCTCTTAGACAGGGCACCTTATTGAGAGGGTCTATGTTTTGCAAGGCTCCCCCTAATCCTATCCCCTCTCCTAAGCCCTTAGCCGGAGCCCACACGAACCCAAACCTCTTAAAGAACATCCTCGAGCCACCCAACCAAAATCCATGGCAAAGGAAGTCGGTGCTACATCTCGCAGGGTGGAAGAACCCCGAAGAGCCCGTTAGGGGTGTGGGGCTTTGGGATTCTTGGGGCCAGTTTACGTTTCTGGCTACAGCCTTCTCCAAGGATAGCCCTAACAGGAACCTCCCAGTCGAAGGAGAGGGGCTCCGCGGGCTTCAGCCCAAAAAAAACCCTAAGCCCCGAACCCCTAAGCTCTAAACCCCCCAAAGTAAGATCCTCAAGGGCCCCTAAACAGCCAAGCCCCACACAATTCCCAAGCCGAGAAGCCCTAAGCCCACAGCCTGCGCTCCTGGGGTCCACTGCTCGGCGCTGTGAGCCCGTGGCGAGGTGCTTCAGTGGAAGCGAAAGTGCCGCGCCCCGGTCAAGGGTTCGGGGCTTTGGGTTGTTCAGGGTTTGGGGCGAAGCTCTCAACCCTAAACCCTAAACCCTAAACCCTAAACCCCAAACCCTGAACCCCAAACCCTGAACCCTAAGCCGCAAACCCAAAACCCCAAACCCTAAACCCCAGACCGTAAACCCTAAAGGCTTGAGGTCGCTTATGGCAATGGGGGTCTTGCTTTTGTGTTCAGGTATCAGGCTTTCACCTTGGACCTTGACTTCCCCAAAAACCGCTGGTTAAGCCTAGGGTTTAGGGTTTTAGGGCTTTAGGGCTTTAGGGTTTTAGGGTTTTAGGGTTTTAGGGCTTTAGGGTTTTAGGGTTTTAGGGTTTTAGGGTTTAGGGTTCAAGGGTGGCGATGGCATAGATGCTTCAGACGTTTGGGGTTTCGGTTACCGTTTCCCTAAACCTTGAGCTACACCCTAAGCCCTTAACCCTACACCGCAAACCCTAAGCCCGAAGCTACGTAGAGGGCTTTGGGTGTGCTTCTTGAAGGGGAGTGCTGCCACCAGAGCAGCCTTCTCTGCAAGAAAAGGACCCTGGACCCGGAGCCCGAACCCCAAGCCGTGATGCGGGTCAAAGGCTTGTTGGGGTGTTTGGGGGGTGTTGGGGCTCAGGCTTCAGTCCAAAACCTTAAACCCGGGGTCTGAAGTTGCTTGGGACCCCTGGGTGCTGGGCCGCACACCCTTCGTCCAGGTTTGGCTGGATCAGACCAGATGAGGAGTTGGACCATCCGGAAGCTTTCAAGAACAACTGGAGGACCTCCCGAAGTTCCTAAGCTCTACAGTAAGCCCAGAGCCCCATTTTCACATCAACAACAGCTGCGGGGGGGGGGGGAGTGCACTGCTCGACACAGCCCTGCAGGCTTCTGTAAGGACCCCAAAGCCTCAAGCCCTCATACCCTTTACACCCCCCCTGATGCTTCCCGTTTATACCACCTCTTTTATACCCCCCTTTGTACCCCCCCCTTTTATACCCACCCTTATACCCCCCTTATACCATCCTTATGCGCCTAAACCGAGACCCCTGCGCCCCGGAAACCGTGAGACTGGCCAGGGTCTACGTCAACATCCTGGACGTCAGGGGCCACGCCGCTCTTTACAGCGGTGCGCGGGTGTGGGGCCGGCCTGCTTGGGGGCACACCCTGCATCATTATGTCATATTACTCCATCATCTTGTTGTTATGCTGTTGCATATGTTTGTGTTGCTAGATTATGAGTGTATGATTTTCAGTCTATCTTGTTGTTCTTCCTCAGAGTCACAGTTAGTACTATGATTCATATCTCAGCAGATGCTATCTGTTTTTATTTCTCCTGGAAGTTCTGAGGCTTTGAAGACTTGTGGGGTGGGTTTGGGCTTCGTCGACTCAGGGGGGGACGGGCTGCCCCAAGCCCTTCGGACTCCTCCAGGGCCTAGTACTTACGACAGGGCCTAGTACTTACGACCCCCTAAACCCTAAACCCTAGACCCTAAACCCTAAACCCTAAACTCGAAAGCCCTTAAACCCCTAAAGCCCCTAAAACCCTAAACCCTAAACCCCCGAACCCCATGGTTTAAGGTTGCCGATTTCTGCCGCAGGAGGAAGGTAAAGGCGATGGCCGCCCCCCCACCGCCCCGCTCAACGCTAGTTGAAAGAACTAGGGGTTTAGGGCTTAAGCCCCCGACCCCACGCCGAAACCAGCTCCTTCTATGTCTACAGCGACGGCAAGGGTCTCGGCGCGGAGGAAGTCTTTCTGGAGCCGCAGCGTGTGTGCTGGGAGAGGGGTGGGGGTTGAGGGTTCAGGGTTTAGGGTTTCAGCCTCATCAGCACTTAACCCCAGGTCCCTTCTCGTAAAGGTTCCGGCTTAGGCCCGCTCTTCTGCTCTGACCTGAGCCCCCAAACCTTTAGCCCAAACCCTGAACCGTGAGCTAGCTGGAGGAGGGTGTGCGAGTTTGGGATTGGCGCCTGGTGTGATTGAGTTCCCTGCGAGCACCTGCGATTTCTGCAGGCAGATGCCTCTAAACTTCAAACGCTGAGCCCCTAAACCCTGAACCAACCACCCGAATCCCGAAACCCAAAACCCTAAACCCTAAACCCTAAACCCTAAACCCTAAACCCTAAACTCTAAACCCCAAAACTCCTCAGCTGCTTCGCAGGAGGCCCGGCGCGGCATCTGGACCGGCAAGGGGGTCCGGGAGCCTGGGCGGTCACTCCGAGCTCAGTTTCAGGTTGGGTTTAGGGTTTAGGGTTTAGGGTTTAGGGTTTAGGGTTTAGGGTTTAGGGTTTTGGGTTTTGGGTTTAGGGTGCAGGGTTTAGGGTTTAGGGTTTAGGGTTTACTCAGAAATTAAGGTAGAGATTTGGGGCCCAATGAGGGTGGAGGGTCAGGGCTTCGGGGCTTAGGGCCGTGAAGGTCTTGTCGTGGGTACAGCCCCTTTTTTTCCTACCTGCCCGCAGTTGAGGTACTTATAGCTTTAGCCCTACCCACAGCTACCCATGAACCTTCAAGGAAAGCTCTAGGATTAGGCATTTTGACCTAGTCCTCAGCCGCTGCTCGCTGCTGATGTCGAACTCACATGGAGGTAGCTGGTGGGAGTTCTCTAGTAAGTCTGGCAAGACTTTTTATAGCCTCCTTAGGAGCTATGTTTTCATGTCTACAGGAACACGAGCATTTTCCTTTTAGGGTTCTGAGGGAAGTATCGACTTGAGTCTCGCAGCAGAAGTTGAACACACCGGTACTGCACTCCCCACACCCCTACCCCAAATCCTCAACCCTAAGCCACCAGTTTCGGGATCCCTTCACCTTAAGTCTAAACCCGAACACCCGCCGCCCTTGCGCGCCCTCCAACCACCATGGTGCCATGGAGCACCAGAAGTGCCTTGGGTGCTCTGGAGAATGTGTTTTGGGTCCTGGTTTTTGCCTAGGACGCCGTCCTTGTTAAAATTGAGGGTGTCGGGTGCCCACGCAAACCCCAAGCCCTGAAGACCGAGTAGTCTGACTAGGTTTACCGAGTCGTGCACCGCAACATTGCATGCCTCAGCGAGAGAGCCGCACCAAAACCCTGACCTAAAACCAGCATAACAGCATAGCCTCTAAATACGCCCTACAGCCCCGAAAGCCCCTAAAGCCCCTCAAAGCCCCCCAAAGCCCCCTCAATCCTGACCCCCGAAAACACCTAAACCCGGCACAGAGCCCCAAATCTAAGCCCTCAATGCCAACCTCGAGTTCGGATTCCACGCCCCCACCCTCGAAATCTCCCCAAACCCTAAACCCTACCACCCCCTTGTTCTAGATCCTAAAGCCTAAGCCTCCCAGTTCCGACTCCCAACCCGAAGCCCTTGCACCCCTAAAGTCCCCTTAGCCGAAAACCCAAACCTAAACCCTAAAGCCTCCTAAGCCCCAAGCCCTACGCCCTAAACCCTAAACCCTAAACCCTAAACCCTAAACCCTAAACCCTAAACCCTAAACCCTAAACCCTAAACCCTAAACCCTAAACTCTAAACCCTAAACCCTAAACCCTAAACCCTAAACCCTAAACCCTAAACCCTAACTAGGTATGTGGAGAGCGGGCTGTGGGATGGCCACTTCCGCGACGCGGCTTCCCGGGAGGGCTTGGTCCTCCGCTCGGAGGCCCGCCCCCCTTTTTGTTTTGTTTGTTTAGGGGCATTAGGGAAGTTTAGGGTTTAGGGTTTAGGGTTTAGGGTTCAGGGTTCAGGGTTTAGGGTTTAGGGTTTAGGGCGTTGAGGGGTTTTAGGGGCTTAGGGTTTTGGGCGCTGAGGGGTTTTGAGGCGCTTGGGGGGTTGAGGGTTCAGTGGGCTAGATAGGGTTGAAGACTCTCGATTTGGGGGTTCAGGGAGTTTAGGGGTTCGGGGTTTGGGATCGAGGGGTTTTAGGGGGCTTAGGGGGTTTAGGGGTTCAGGGCTTAGGGTTTGAGCGTAAATTGAATAAATTAAAGGGTCTGGGGTTGGGTTTCTGGGGTTTAGAACTTCACGATTAGGGTTTAGGGGTTCGGGGGGCTGTAGGGCACTGTAGGGGTGGGGTACAGGGGGTTTCGGGGCTTTTGGGGTTGGGGTTTGTAGGGGGGTTAGGGTAACTTGCCCGAAAGAAAGACCTAGCTAGGCAGTGTTTGGGGATCGGGCTTTGGAGGTCTGAGAGTGTCGGGGTTTGCGTGGCACGGTTTAAGCAGGCTGTACAGCCGCTCCAAACCCTTACTGTACCTAAAACCCCCAAAACCCCCAAACCCCCCAAACCCCCAAACCCCCCAAACCCCCAAACCCCCCAAACCCCCCAAACCCCCCAAACCCCCCAAGACCCCCCAAACCCCCAAACCCCCAAACCCCCAACCCCCCAAACCCCCAAACCCTAAACCCAAAACCCTTAACCCCCAAACCCCACACCCTGAACTTTTTTTCGCACGTCTCCTGAGAGGCCTCGGCGCTAGCGCAGCGGCCCGGTCGCTTCGGGGTCCCGCTGCGGCCGCGGTGGCCCTTCCGGCCCCAGAACAGAGCGAGCGCCAGCGAGGTCAGGGAGGGGGGGGGGGGGTTGGGGGTTTAGGGTTTGGGTTTAGGGTTTAGAGTTTAAGGTTTAAGGTTTGGGGTTTAGGGTTTAGGGTTAAGGGTTAAGGGCTTGGGTTTGAAGTTCAGGGTCGATCGGTTATCGGTAGCGTCCGTGGTTCAGGTGAAAGCTCAGGGTTTAGGGCGTGGGGCTTGGGTCAAGGCAAAGGTTCTAGGGCTTGGGTGTAGCTAGAGTCAAGATCCTGCGCTACCTGTAAAATGGGCCCCAAGCCCTAAACCCTAAGCACTAAATCCTAAACCTGAAACCCTAAACCCTAAACCTCAACCCTCAACCCTCAACCCTCAACCCTCAGCCTTAAGCCCTCAGCCCTCAGCCCTCAGCCCTAAGCCCTAAGCCCTAAGCCCTAAGCCCTAAGCCCTAAGCCCTAAGCCCTAAGTAAGCCCTAAGTAAGCCCTAAGCCCTAAGCCCTAAGCCCTAAGCCTTAAGCCCTAAACAAAGCCCGCAAGCCGCTGAGATGCCTTGGGCACCCGGCGGCGGCGGCACGCTGCCGGGGCCGGCGGCGGGGCCTGCGCAGGCTTGCTTTGGGCGGTTTAGGGTGTGGTTTAGGGTTTAGGGTTTGGGGTTTGGGGTATGGCGTTTGGGGTTTAGGGGTTTCGGGGTTTAGGGGTTTAGGGGCTCAGGGGCTTAGGGGTTTAGGGTTTAGGGTTTAGGATTTAGGGGTTTAGGTTGGGGTGTTCCCCCTTATGCTAGCAGTCCTTTTTGGGGATCATAATAGGGGTACTACAATCCCTATTAAGGACTGTTAATGTCGAACATGCAGCTTGGGGAGTTGAGGGTTTCGGGAGTTTAGGGTTTTGGGGTTTAGGGAGTTTATGGTGCCTAGAAGGGCTTGCGCGGGTTTACAAGGCCAAGGCTTTTGTCCGGGTTTTCTCAGGGTTGTCTTGGAATTTGTGAGGGTTCAGGGTTGGGCTGTTTGGGTTTAGGGGTTTGTTTTTGCACGGCAGTTCTTTGGCGGACCAGAGGGGCCAGCAGCTTCGTATGTTGCCCTGCTCAACTATTTCTAAAATCTAAGCCCTAAACCCTAAACCTTAAACCCTAAACCCTAAACCCTAAACCCTAAACCCCTAACCCCTGACCCCTAAACCCTAAACCCTAAACCCTAAACCCTAAACCCTAAACCCTAAACCCTAAACCCTAAACCCTAAACCCCAGGTAGGGGGCATTGCCACAAAAGCCGGCCCACCTCCAGCCTATGGAAGCCGTTGTGCGCAGCTAACACCCGTGCACCTGGACAGAATGCCCAAACCCGAAGCCCTAAAGCCCCAATTCCCCTAAAAACCCTGAACCTCTAAACCCTGTCTAAACCCCAAAACCAGCACCCCAAGAAAGCCCCTAAAAAAGCCCCCGAAAAGCGTTAGAAACTCCGAAAACCCCTGGAAATCCCTAACACAAACCCTTAAAAGAGTCCAACAGCCCCTATAACGTCCTAGCAGCCCGAGAGACCCCTACAAGCCCCTAAACCCTAAACCCTAAACCCTAAACCCTAAACCCTAAACCCTAAACCCCTAAACCCTAAACCCTAAACCCTAAACCCTGAACCCTGAACCCTAAACCCTAAACCCTAAACCCTAAAACCCTAAATCCCTTCAGGAGCCAGCTCGGGAAAGTGCACACGGGAGTCCCCACAAAGGGAGCCCCCGGGAGAGCCTACGGGAGGAGACGAATTCAGGGTTTAGGGGTTAGGGTTTAGGGTTTAGGGGTTAGGGTTTAGGGTTTCTCTGGGGTTCTTTGGGGGGTTTATGGGGGGGGTTCCCATGCAGGCCTTTGGGTTTTAGGGTGCGACGTTTTTTCTGGGTTGATTCACAGTCCAGAAGATATCCAGAAGCCCTAAACCCAAAAAACCCTAAACCCCAAAAAACCCAAACATCCCTAAACCCTAAAACGCCCTAAACACTAAAAGCCTGAAAAGCAAAAGTCCCTAAACCCTAGGGCGGGCTCCGGGTGTCTGGGTCTGCAGACTGATTCTCGCGCTCGCAAAGCGCGCTTCTGCCTGCCCCTAAACCCGAAAGCCCTCAACCCCAGACCCGATGCCCTAAACCCTAAACCCTAAACCCTAAAGGCCTCAACCCTCGGCCCTAAACCCTAAACCCTCAGATCTTGCCCCCCTAAGCCCTGAAAGCAGGAGCTGCTCTCGCAGCTGTCAGCCTACCGCCAGCTCGCAGACCAACGCGTCGCCACGATGAGGGCCTGCAGAGCCCATGAGAATCCATCTAGGGTTTAGGGTTTAGGAGGGTCTAGGGTTTAGGGTTTAGGGTTTGGGGGGTATTTCGTGTTTCGTTTTTTTGAATAGAACACACTTGGGAATAAACGCAACCTTGTGTATTACGGTCCTGAACTCCAACAACTCCCTGTCCGAACATGTCCCAAGAGCTGTCCCCCCCACGCCATACTTTCTAATTCAAAGTCGGAACTGTGCCTAGACCCTAAACCCTAACCCTAAACCCAAACCCCAAAACCGGAAACCCCTAAACCCAATTTGCCAGAGCATTGCCCTGGGACTCAGGTTTGCTGTTTGGGTGCGTGCCCTTTTTTTTTTTTTTTGGGGGGGGGGGGGGGGGGGGGGGGGGTCGGGCCTTTTGCTCCGCTATCTCTGGCCCGGTCGGCCACACTCCACTGTGGTCCCATGGGGTTTAGGGTTTCGGGTTTAGGGTCTGCTAAACCCTAAATCACTCCACAGTCCTGGGTTGTGTCTCAACACAGACCCGGGCAAAGGTGCAAGGAAAGTGGAAGGTAGTACAGAAAACCCGGGCGAAAAGCTCATTTAAGAATCATCAACCCTGCATTCAGGGTGGGGGCAAATTCAACATAGCAGCTTGACACGGCATCAATTCCTTATCGACTTGTTTTGCTTCAGGCGTGCTGGGCGCAAGGGGCCGTTTTGGGTTAGGGAAACGGCCTATCCAACACGATTCAACGGGGGATTCAGAAGTTGGGTTTAGTGTAGGATTTAGGGTTTAGGGTTTAGGGTTTAGGGTTTAGGGTTTCGTGAGCGTTTTCAGGGAGCTGTGGTCCTTGAAGGCGCGCCTCATCAAGTGTCCGGATGCCGCAACAGTCGAGGAGCCGTGGCTAAGGCCCCAAACGCTCGAATTTCTGAGCCCGACTTCTGCCCCAAAACCCGAAACCCAAAACCCAAAGCCCTAAACCCTAAGCCTAAACCCTAGTCCCTGAGCCTTCTTTTGACTTCCTCTCCTCTATGTCGGTCTAGCCCCCACCGAGATCGGCTAGGGTTTAGAGTTTAGGGTTGGTGTTCAGGGTTTAGGTTTTCAGCCCCAAAGCCCTCTCCCCAAAACCCCCTCACCCCCAAAGCCCCGAAATCCCCATAAACCGAAACCCTAAGCCCCAAGCATCCCTAAACCCTAAACCCTAAACCCTAAACCCTAAACCGTAAACCCTAAACCCTAAACCCTAAACCCTAAACCCTAAACCCTAAACCCTAAACCCTAAACCCTCAGCCCCAAGCCTTGCAACCGAAGCTCCCCACCGGGAGAGGAGCTCGAGGTGCTGCGGGCAGAGGCTTGCACGGAGTTCTATTTTCAGGGTTTAGGGTTTAGGGCTCAGAGTTTAGGGTTTAGGGCTAGGGTTTAGGGTTTGGGGCTCAGGGTTTAGGGTTTAGGGAGTGGGGGTTGATGTGTAGAGGTACCCCGGGGCTCTCATTTAGGGTTCGGTCCGAGGTTCTAGGGTTGAAGCGGGATGCAGGGGTCCCTAAACCCTAATCCCTAAACCCTAAACCCTAAACCCTAATCCCTAAACCCTAAACCCTTAAGACCGGGGGTCCCCACGCCGAGGGTGCTTGACGCCAGGGTGCCCAGCAGGGCCAGTAGCAGGGGTTGAGGCGTGAGGGTTTAGGGCTGAAGGACTTCCCTACTACCCCGAAACCCTAAACCCTAAATCGTAGACCCCAAACCCCAAAGACCAAACCTCTCTAAACCCGTAGCCCCAAACCCCGGCCCGAGCCTGTCAGGTGGCTCAGCAGATCGCCTCGCTGGAAGAGGCGGCGCACAAAGCTGCGCGAGGCTTGCGTTCAGGGCGGCGACGTTCTTTATTCGGGGTTTAGGGTTTAGGGTTTAGGGTTTAGGGTTTAGGGTTTAGGGTTTAGGGTTTAGGGTCTAGGGTTTAGGGTTTAGGGTCGCATCCATTGGGCTTGGTTCAGCATCAATCTTCGTCTTTACTTGCCGTAAACTGTCTATAACCATTTATAACCTCGACAAGCTTTTGCCTTCGAAAGCAAGGCCCTACGGTTCTCAACCCCATGATCTCTCAAGCCCTCGACCCTAAACCCTAAACCCTAAACCCTAAACCCTAAACCCTAAACCCTAAACCCTAAACCCTAAACCCTAAACCCTAAACCCTAAACCCTAAACCCTAAACCCTAAACCCTAAACCCTAAACCCTAAACCCTAAACCCTAAACCCTAAACCCTAAACCCTAAACCCCTAACCCCTGACCCCTAAACCCTAAACCCTAAACCCTAAACCCTAAACCCTAAACCCTAAACCCTAAACCCTAAACCCTAAACCCTAAACCCTAAACCCTAGCCCCCAAACCCTCAACCCTAAACCCTAAACCTTATCACCCGCTGGCGCTTGTGGGCCCCACCGAACTCCAAGCTCAAGGCCGCCTGCACGACGACGCCCCGGAAGAGTCGCCCAAGTGAGCGGCGGAAAAGAGCTTTGAGGGTTTAGGGCTTCTAGGGGTTTGGGGCTTGTAATTAGGGGGCTTGTGGGGAGGCTTGTTTTTTTGTTGTTTTAAGGGGTTTTGGCAGGTTTGGGGGCTGTAGGGTTTCAGGGGCAAGTGGGGGCTTTAGGGCTTTCAGATTCAGGTGTGAAAGCTTTAAGGGTATACGGGTCAGGGCGTTTATGGCATTTAGGGCTCTCGGACTTGAGGGTTTGAAGGTTGGGGCGGGTTTTCCTCTAAGGATTCTTCTGCGTAGTCTGAGGTAAGGTTTCAAGTGCCCCTAAGAGGGCATAACCCAGCCAACTATAGTGGCCTTACCCATACACCCTACGCCACACGTACCCACAACACTCGCCTTACCTGCCCCCGGAGCCTGTTTCGCACTCAGGCCGGTTCCAATTTTCCGCAGCACACGCTGCCGGCAGCCAAGATGTTCGGGTTGGGGGCAGGGGATTGAGGGTCAAGCGAGTCGATTCCCAAAGCCTCCGAAGAAAAAGCCTGTTTCGCAGCGCCCAAACCAAAACTCCAAACCCTAAACCCAAGGTTCTCAAGCTTCCTGAAGTGTAAGACCTCTACCCCAAAACCCGAGCAACCAAAAGCCCCTAAGCTCAACAGTTTAGGGTTGAGGGTTTAGGGTTGAGGGTTCAGGGTTCAGGGTTGAGGGTTTAAGGGTTGAGGGTTTAGCCACCCCGAACCTCGTAACCCCTAAGCCTTAGGGACTCAGCACCAAAGAGTGTTGGCCTGTGGTTGTCCTCGGATCTTGGCACCTAAACCCCCAACCCTAAACCCCCAACCTTAAACCCTAAACCCTAGACCCTAAACCCAAAACCCTAAGCCCTAAACCCTAGACCCTAAACCCTAAACCCTAACCCGTAACCCCTAAACCCGACTCCGTACGGCTCTTGGCACCTTTGCCCGAATGCCTCAGGAAGTTGCCAATCCAGAAGAGCATCCAAAAGGAAGGCGGCTGACTCAGGTTTGAGGGATGTTTAGGCTTTAGGGTTTAGGGTTTAGGGTAACATGAGGTTTAGGGTTTAGGGTTTAGGGCTCTGGGATGAGGGTTTAGGGTTTAGGGTGTGTTGGGGTTGGGGTTTAAGCTTGAGGGTTTCGGGGTGCAGGGGCGCTTTGGTTTTAGGGTTCAGGGGTTTCGGGTTTCAGGGGTTTGGGGCTCTTGGCTTAGGGCTTAAGGTTGTTCAATTATTCAACTTCTGCAAGCTTCCCAAAATACCATTTCCAACTGACTAAGACACAGCTGATGAACCACTCTACATGCAGGTGGAGCTGTCGCAGCCTTGAGCCGGGCGTCTGGCTCCCAAACTGAAGCACCTACCTCCTAAAACTCTGAACACTAAAACCCCGCAACCCTGAGCCCTAAACCTTGAGCCCTAAACCCTAAGCCCCAAACCCTGAAGCCCGAAACCCTGAGCCCTGAACCCTAAACCCTAAACCCTAAACCCTAAACCCTAAACCCTAAACCCTAAACCCAAAACCCTAAACCCTAAACCCTAAACCCTAACGTCCTTCGATGCCCTCCGGAGGAGCCGCCCGACACCACCCGGCCGCGCGCGGCCGGGGGCCCCTGTGTGCACGCTCGAAGTCACTGGGCGGGTCTCAGGGTTTTAGGGTTTACGGCTGGTTTAGGGTCAGGGTTTAGGGTTAGGGTTAGGGTTCAGGGTCAGGGTTTAGTATTTTAGGGTTGGGGCAGGGTTTCGGGTGGGTTTGGGGAGGGTTTCGGCGGGTTTCGGGAGGGATCAGGGTTCTGGGATGTAGGCTTTTAGGCTTTTAGAGTTTCAGGGTTTCAGGGGTTCAGGCTTTGATGGTTTCAGGACTTCAGGTTTCTACGGTTCTGGGGTTCGAGGCTTCTAGCAAGACGCCTTCTTCTTCTTCTTCATTGGCCAGTCGGCCACACGCTGATGCTCTTTAGTTGTTTTGTTCTTCTTTGTGGCATGAGTGGCTTTGCGTACAGCTGAGCCATGCCCTGCCCCCAAAAAATGAGCCCCCCCCCCCCCCCCGACCCCTAAACAACAGATACAGTACGTGAAAGTTGCTTTACGGCCAATTTCGTATCGGGGGGCAGGAGGGGTTTTAATGCTAGGGCTCGCTGTTCGCAGGTGTGCTTTTTCCCGAAGCCTGAGTTTTGGGGTTCCAGGTCTTTTCAAGCCCCCGAAGGTTCCGCCAGCCTCACCCACACCCTTAAACCCTATAAACCCTATAAACCCTATAAACCCTGTAAACCCTATAAACCCTATAAACCCTTTAAACCCTATAAACCCTATAAACCCTATAAACCCTTAGACCCTTAAACCCTTAAACCCAAAGCCCTGATCCCTAATCCCTAAACCCGAAAACTCAGGCTCAAGGTTGCGCAGGCAATCTCCCAGCAATCCGCAGATTTTTCAGACCCGTCGTGTCTGTTGGCTTGTTAGGCAATGTTGTGCTCTCTGCCCTAATAACGGAGCCGTGCCGTAAGAGTTGCCTATATGCGGTTCTAGGGTTTAGGGGTTAGGGATTTTAGGGCTTAGTGTTTAGGGTTTGAAGAGGAGGCCCTAAACCCTAAACCCTAAACCCTAAACCCTAAACCCTAAACCCTAAACCCTAAACCCTAAACCCTAAACCCTAAACCCTAAACCCTAAACCCTAATATCGCTTCTTCCCCGGAATGCGATCACCTGAGGTGGCAAGAAGGGCGGCAAGAAGGGCGGACTGGACATCAAGGCAAAGTCATTTGAGGCTGGGGGCCTCCTAAACCCTAAACCCTAAACCCTAAACCCTAAACCCTAAACACTCAAGGCCGACAACCCCCCAGACCCTGTTCACTTCTAAAGGCCTCCATGGAGTACGGGGATGCTCTAGGGCGGGTGCTTCCCTACTATGGTTCAGGATTTAGGGGTTTAGGGTTTAGGGTTTAGGGTTTAGGGTTTTCTTCTGTTTTCAGGAGGGCTTTCGAGCCCCCAGCTTGCTGCACGAATTAGGAGAGAATTTCTGCCCCTGCCACGGAGAAGTCGTGATACGTACCCTAATCGGAAGTTGGGTTTAGGGGTTAGGGGTTAGGGTTTAGGGTTTAGGGTTTAGGGGTTAGGGTTTAGGGTTTAGGGTTTAGGGTTCTTCGGGGCTCAGGGGCTTGGTCGCCAAGGGGAAGCAGCATGTTGCTGAAGAGAAGCAGCCCATGGCTGAGCAGAAGCCAGCCCGGCCCCCTGGGGATTCCAGGAGTTTTCGGGTTTAGGGTTTAGAGGGATCAGGGTTTAGGGTTTAGGGTTCTGGGTTTAGGGTTTCTTTTTTGGGGGGGCCGGGGGGGGGGGGGGGGGGATTGTGGGGGGTTTCAGGTTTGAGGGTTCAGGATTTCGAGCGATTGCACAACAAGCCAAGACCCGCTTGAGGCTTGATGATAGGGTACTCAAACATGGTCCGATCCACTGAGAACCACAGTTTCCCTACGGAACAACCGCAGTGGTGAGCCTCTAAATGCACCTTGAAGCCCATGCCCTACACCCGGAACCCCCAACAATCCCAAACCCCCATACCCCCATCATCCCAAAACCCTGAACCCTTTCGAACCTACAGTCTCAAAACCCTAAATTCAAAAGTCCAAAAGTCCCATAACAAACACTTAGCCCCGAAAATCCTGAACCGCACCCTCAACCCCAAGGCACCGGCCGAAGTGCCCTCGGGGCCGGACCGCCACAAGCAGACGGTGGAGGGTGTGGCGTGCGGCGCCCGGACTCGTAGGGTTTGGGGTTTGGGGTTTAGGGTTTAGGGTTTGGGGTTTAGGGTTAGGGGTTTAGGGTTTGGGGTTTACGGTTTCGGATTCAGAGCTTAGGGTGTAGGGTTGAGGACTCGCGCTTCTTAAGAAATCTGGGGGGGTTTGGCGTTTGGGGGCTCAGGATTCCGAAGCCCATCGAAACCCCGAACCCGAGCAGCCCGAACTAGGATTTCGGGCTGTTGAGCCCCAGCCAAAGCCCGACCCCTTTAGGCTCCGATGCGCAGTTACACACGTTTTTTGGAGTCGAAGCCCACCCTGCCGGTCCGGAGTGGGTTCGGGATGCTTTTTGCCGGGGTCCGTGCGCTTGGGGTGAGGCGATGGGCCACTCCACTTTTTTTGCAGGGTGGGTCCGTGGCTGGCAGGCTGAGTCAGGTATGGCAGGCTTGATTTTCGGAAACATCAAGCAGATCAGGAAGCAGCAGCGGTCAGCTATCGGCCGCCGCAACGGCGTCGGTGCCAATGGTTTAGGTTCTTTTGATGAATCGTGTGACGTTTCATTATGTGACGAAGGTACCAGCTCTCCTGGTGCTGCTCCGAGATGCGTGGCTGGAGACCGGCGATGGAGGATCTCTGCTTGGGACTGCATGTGGGTTGTTGAGGGTTGTTGAGGGGTTGAGGGGCGGGATGCAGGGGTTCACGGATGCGGGCTTGCAGCCCCCCGAGAGAGCTCCGTTGAAGCAACAAAAACTTCCTAGTTTCCCTAAGCTTCCGAAAGCCACCCTAAACCCTAAGCCCTCCGAAGACACCAACCCGGAGGACGCCTCCTGCGTCTGCATGAACATGGAGGATCCTCTGCGAAACTTTGCTTTGCGCGCGGCCCGGAGGGTTTAGGGTTTAGGGTTTACTTTGTTTGGGTGGGGGTTTCGGGATGTGGGTGTATCTATTTAGGGGTTAAGAGTTTGGCGATGAGGGTTCTTTTGGGTTTCAGGGGTTTAGAGTGGTTTCAGGGTTGCTTTGGGTGTTTAAGGCTTGGGGTCCTGGGCTTCAGGGCTTCAAGTTTTTTGCGTGTTATGCGAGAAACAGCCCTTTCTTTTTGTATGTTCCAGCCTAAACCCCTGAAACCGTAGACCCCTAGAAACCCTAAAGCCCAGAAACCTAACCCCTGAACCCTGATCCACCTAAGAACCTGTGAAGCAAATTCGCGCTGCCCGCATCGGGGGTGGAGGGATCCAGGTTCAGCGCCCCCTACAGTAAACACCCGGGTCAGCGCTCTAAGATGG